TTAAATTGTATTTTCTATGATATCACTATTACTGTTCTTCATAAAATATATATTTTTTATTTTCCTCTGCAGAGTAAAGTAAACATGACATACAAATTTACAGTGAGACTTGTCAACAAACACATGAGATCATGGATATTAAGCTGAGCATAAACTTTCTATTATATTCAATTTACTGCTCATGCAATAAAATTGTCATCAGATCAAATGGGATTTTATACTGCGTCAGCTATAATACAATGCTATAAAATTACAATTTTACTGTTGTTCTCTTACTCTCTTGTAAGTTACGAAAGTTAAAAAGTTACATACACTATCGTGCTATGGCTTACATAGTCTAACAAATAAGAAGGGTTTTAGTCTGAGTAGTTTAGGGTTTATAATTAATTGATGATTATATGGCTGTTTTTCAGTGTGAAAAATAGTATGTTTTGCTGCAGTAAGGACCTGAAATCTCTTAATGAAAATTTGATTGAATGGAATGTATGGAAAAAGCTCAAACACTGGTTCTCCAATTTTGTTTGGAATAAAAACTAGTAGACAAAAACCAGAAATACAAAAAAGCCCTTTATGTACTCCAACATAGGGGAGAACCACAATAGTTAATGGAACTGCATTCACTTTCTAAAGAAGGCTTCAAAACACTGCCACTTTCCAACAAGTTCAGTTTATTTGTTCAGAGTTCAGGAAACCAAAAGCTCATTGGACTTCACTGCTCACCTTGGAGATGAGAGTACCCAGCTTCAGGTCTCTCTTCCTTGCCCGGTTTGCTTTCATTAGGTGTATTGACAGGACACAAGCATAACAAGTGGCTTCCTAGGGCAGCACTGGGGGTGTTCTGACATAAAAATTAACCTGAGGGCATCATGCATTTTTTCATAGTTCTTTCTCATAGTTTTCAACATAGCCATTTGCATTCATTCATTTTAAAGTACCTTCTTGCTTACGATTAATTGATATTAGACAATGTATTACAATGTATCCACGCACCATTATTACCATGTGCTCTACTTGTAGCATATGAAATACAGCATTTTAAAAGTCTATGCTGAATCAAAAATGAATAATATATTTGTATACATTTCATTTAATTTGCTAAGAAGTACAAACTTTTTATATTCCACTGATGCTCAGAGACCTGTCAGGATTGAAGTGATGGGTGGTACTATGCAGACGTGATCCTTGCCTCTGCAAAACCTGGAAATGTCTTTCACTTTTCATATATGGTAATCCTGAAAATATATACAAGCACTAGTAGATAGGTGAGCTGAACAGACTTTATCTCGACTGAGCCTTCTGTTTCTCATTTCTCTTGGTCTGCTCCATTATGTGTATGTTCATTAGACATGCTATGTGACTGACATCTTTCACAATTAGTGCTCACGTATAATGAGATGCAATGCTGACAAGGACTCTGTTGTTTTCTATAGCTTCACTGAAAGGCCTTTTCCTTCTTCCTTGGCACTGATCCATCAAAACCGTTGCACCATGTTCAGCTGATGGCTAGGACTGAAAATAATTTTCAGCCATTAAAACATTGCTCGTGTATCATCAGCTCCACCTCTTGGATTAATTTGGTTTTTACAGATCCACTACGCAGTTTGTAGGGGAATTCGCTCTGGAAATGTAAAAAGTCCTGAGGCAGTGCCCTAATAAAGGCATCTGGCTCAATTCCTTTGTCCTGCAAGTTTAATGCTCAGTGCTTGATTACCAGTAAAGTTTAATTACAAATTATTTCACAAATAGTATGGGTTACATTGTCCTCTAGTGGCTCATATAGATAACTGCCCTGCTGACAAATTCCTTTTGCCTTGTGTTTTTAAATCCTCTCATATTCTTTTCATAGAAGTCCAAGTCACCTCAGAAGAGGCCAAATAAAAAGTTTGCATCTTACTGCTGCTGTATCAGTACATCAAGCTCCCTCCTCTATAATTGCAAATGTTCTGCTAAAGAAATACGTATTTTAAATAGTTCAAAATAACAATGGAATTGTGAGAAGATAATGTATTTAATCAGAGCATTTGATGAAAACAAATATATCCTTCTTATTAGCAGTAACAGATAATAAATTCAACATGAATTTTTTTTAATAGATTCAGGACTAGTTCTTCCAGAAAATATATAGAAGTCTTATGTAAAGGAAATCAGAATAGCCCTCCAGCATGTCCTGTGGCTACTCACTTGAAAACCTCAATAATACCAGGCTTTTGTTGAGTAACATGGAATCACCACCTTTCACGGGAAGCAGTGAGAGCACTAGAGCACTTTGCAGCATAATGCAGATGTTTGCAAATAGGAGAAGGAATCTGGAGCATGGAGAATAACTCCAGGGTGTTTGAAGTGACAAAATACACGTATTACACTACTTTGAAAAGGTGAGACCATATTCTGTAATGTGCTGAGTTTATCTGTGGCAAAGCAGTGGAATTACTTCCAGCAGACGCCTTGGCCCTGGCCATGGGAATTGTGGCAGGCAGTGCTCGGGCAGGCATGGCAGACGGGATGCTCCAACTGGAGAGCCTTCCTTTTTCCTACTGTTTCTTTCTTGATGAAATGCCACGAGTAATGACAAATAGAGGTTGCACTGCAAAGATAACTTCTCTGTGTGTAAGAATATTAAGAGAACTATAAGTGGTTCTTTTTATACCTCCAAGGTTATGTAGGAAGCAGCAGTTACAAGTGAAGAAGAAATGTGGTTGCACTCTTAAGGCAGTGGTGGTGCACTCCAGAAAGGTGGTAGCTCATGTCTTCTGTTGCTGTTTGCAATAACAGGAGAGACAAAGGAGTACTCAGACCTTACAGAATTAATTTTCAAGGCTTTTTCAAAGTAGCATGCCTTGTACTCGATCAGGAAATATTATATCAGGATTCTGTAAAAATTCTTTGTTCACATCCTCCATTTCTGGCCCCCTTTTTCATTCATCCCGTTTAGAATAATAGAGTGGTTTGAGTTGAAAAGGACCTTAAAAATCATCTAGTTCCAACTTCCTGCCATGGACAGGGACACTTTCCAGTGGACCAGGGTACTCAAAGCCACATCCAAACTGGGCTTTTGGAGAGGTCTTCTTTTCACTCAGCAACAGTTGATAGCAGTGGCAGTTTGGATCACGAGCAGGTCTGTCCTGGCTGGTGCTGGTGGTGAGCTCCCCCCAGGGAGGTGCAGGCAGCACTGCTGGGAAAGGCTCACTGAACAGAGCTCTTCTGGGCTCCTGTCAGGGGCCTCCTTCTCCCAGGACTCCTGTCAGCATTGGAGAGATTTCAGACAGTTCATTCCCTGGGCTGATCATCCTCTAAACATTGGGAGAGTTGCAGAGCAGCTTAATTATACTTGGCACGGTGGAGTCGTGCGTTTGGTGTTGTCCACATACTGCCTCAGACTTGCACACGTACCCACACTTAGCAAGAGTAAGTACTGCCAGAGTTGGGGCTGTGCTGGCAGAAACAAAGCTTTTAAAGGCAGCCTGGGGGTATAAAATGCCTTCACCTTGTGAAATCAGTTGTGCTGCTCCTCTTACATCACTCAGAGGTTTATTGGGCAGTGATAGATTTAGGAATGTTTACACAGACTCTTCTACCACTAGGGATCTTTTCAGTTGCCCTCAGATAAGAAATTAGGTACTTTCTTTATTTCTTCTTAATTAGCTGCCAGGAGGAAGTAGATGGATTTTAGTTTTCTCTAGCAGAAAGGCTTAATTTTTAAAAGGACTTTGCATCAACGTATTTTTTTATGCTTTGCAAAGTTCTTCTCCGGGGTTTTGTAATTATTTATTTGACCTAGATGCTAAGCAAAGTTGTATTTATCCTCAATTCAGAATGTGGGGTTTTATCCTCCAAGCACCAAGACGGTGAGTTATGCAAATTGATCGATTTAGAGCTCCCTGACTACAATTTCTGCTGTAATGATTTGTTAAACATTTGATCTTTTTTTTCCAGGTAGCTATCAGGCCTGGTAGCTATCAGTGTGGAGGGGTTGCCCTCCTTCCACACTGGAATCTTTTACAGAAACTCATTATTGCTTCCCAGGTGTGCTCCTTCTGACATCCCAGCAGTGACAGGGCTCCATCCATAAGGTCTCTCCACCAGCTGCTGTGGCAATGCTCAGGATCCTCCTGCAGGCAGGAATAAGATGTGACTGATTACACCTATTTCTATTAATCAGACAAATGCAGGCTTCTCTTCAAAGCAGGGTGGGAGGTTGCTCCTGCCAACCGACCGTATCAGTCACTGTTCTCTTCCAGCTGTGTTAACTCCATCTTCCTGTAGTGCATTTTACATCGTGGTTATGCCAGCAGAGTCTTTCCCGAATGACCTGACCCTTGATGTCAAACTCAGTCAGAGCTGGAGTCTGATGGAAGCAGTTTTTGGTGAAACTGATCCCTCACGCCCTCTCTCGTAAGGCTGCCTGAGCACTGTGTGGGCTAATGGGAGAAATAAAATGGTGACCTTGTGTGCCCTTGAGTGCTGAGTGTGATCCTGCTCAGCACAGGCATGTGTTTGTCAGGTTTTCTGACAAGGGCTTTCCAGCTGTCTGCCTGCCTGTGTGCCTCTTGAGTGCCTGCAGATACAAATGTGTGAGTGCACCTTGCTTCGTAGCAGATGTCTTTACAGGGTGGATGGCAGTACTTACTGCTTTTCTGCATGAATGTAGAAAGCATCCTTTGGTGGAAAACAGGTGGTAACTTCATTTAAACCCCACTGCATTGTAGAGCAATGAAACTGATGAGATGCTAAAGCTTTGCCAGGTTTTCTGTTTCAGTAAGCACCTAATCTTGAAACTGTTTTAATCAGGCTTCTTTATCAGATGTTCTCGTTTCAGCATTGCCACCACCCACCTGAAATTATTGCTTGGCCTCAGATTAATAGGTGATGCCATTTTGATATGCACTGTTAAATAATTTCTATTTGAGGATTAGTCTTTTCTTTGGTGTTTTCTAGAGGTAGTGTTCATCATTAAAGTGCCTGTACCTGAAGGATGATGTACTTGTGTTTTCTTTTGTCAGAACAACGAAATGGTGGAACTACAGAGGATACGAATGAAGGATGAAATTCGAGAGTACAAGTTCCGAGAGGCGAGACTCCTGCAGGACTACACAGAGCTTGAAGAAGAAAACATCACTTTACAGAAGCTGGTATCCACACTGAAACAGAATCAAGTAAGTATCAAAAGATTCAAGGCACTGTACTGTAAAGTGACACCATTTTCTCCAGTTTCCATAATGCGATCCTGTAAAGCACTGATAGAAGTTTCGTTTTATGTTTTTTTTCAGTTAGGTTTTTGCTGATCACTTACTCTAAGACAGTGTTACTGGCCATTTTTGAAATATAGGGAGGCCCTTAGCTCAGTTTTGAAAAGTTCTGGTGAAATATTTCATTGCAGAGCTATGTAATCAGAGAGGAATTTTTAAAATAGATAGAATTGCATCTTTTTGCTTCCTGCTTTTCCTGTCCTCCTTCCCTGCGCAGTGAACTCCAGTGCCCAGTGGCAAAGTTCTGCCCTCCATTTCCTCTTGGTTGGTTTCCTGTACATTGTTTCCTCTTCTGAACTGTAGAAGAGGGACAATAATCCTCTCCTCCCTCTCTTTCTTTCTTTTCTTTTTTCTTTTCCCTTCCTTCCCCTTTCCCTTTCTCTTCTTTCCCTTCTTCTTTCTTTCTTTCCTTTTCCTGCCCCTTGGGTTTCCTGTGCTGGCATTGCTCTCTTGTCAGCCATGCTAACCCTCAAGTGTAGCAAGCTTCAGGAATAGGCAAAGGGATGTCAGGTGTTCCTAGTTTTTCTTTTGTTTTCTTCATTTGCAGCTGATGGCAAACCAACACTGTAATTCTCACTGCAGTGCTGTTATGGAACCTCAATAAACAACAGCCCTGTTACATCCAGGCATAAGCAGTCATGGGGTCTGTTCTGTCCTCCTTACAAAAGCACACTTCCTTTGCTGCTGGCTGTGTATGTACCATGAAGAATCAAGAGTTAACTTGCTGTGGTTGATATTTAAGTGTCCAAGTTGGATGATTTCAGTGTTTTAGACACTGTCCAGACCAGCATCACATTGCACTTCATAGCACCATTTCCTTACCTGCTCTCAGAGGGTAACAGCACTGCACTGCAGCCCCTGGCTTATGTCCTAACCTGTGCCTAGTGCAGTCAGGGCTTTTATCAAAGAGCCAGCCCTGTCACAGTTTCCAGTGGCAGCCTGGGAACAAAGCTGCTTTATTCCTGCAGGAATCAGCAGTGCCATTTCAGGTCTTTTTTACTGCTGCTTTACTGCTCTGGCACAAATGCAATGGAAACAGTTAAAACAACAGAGCTGTGCTGCAGGGAATACACAGGTAATAGAAACGGGCACATAATTTCCTTATTTATGAAGATGCCTAGGCTTTCACACTCCTGCAGCTGAATTTATAGCAGATCATCTTTGTGTCAGAGTTATTTACCTAGCCAGCAAATTCCCCCTTTGAGGCATGGAATTTTTTTCCTCGCCAACCTCATAGGAGACATTTTCACATTATCAGGAAACAAAAGACTGCTTTATGGACTGTTCTAGTTTCCCCCAAAATAAAATCTGTGTGCAAGTGTTTGTATTTGTCATAATATTTCATTCTTACTGAAACCGAATGCCAGCAGTCTGGGGAGAAAAAGCATTGCTATATACTGAATAACTTTGAAAATCAGTCATTTTGCATCACATATCCCTGCACTTGTGACTCCTAAAATAACTTTGATCTACAAGATAAAATTTTAAGAGCATTTTATACTTTAATGCTTGAATTTACAAACCCATATGTTATAAGTCTTGGTGCTAAAATATCATTATCTACGTTGGGGTTTTTTTGTAGCTTTTTTAAGCAAGAGTCTATGATAAGGTAACCATATAGATAATATAGATTTGTGGTTTGCATATGGATTTAAAATTGAAAAAGTATTGATTGTTTTGTTGGGTTTGGCTTTTTTTTAATGTCCTTAAGTTATAAACATAGCTATTTTATTGCATTTCATAATTTTTCAGATGTACCTGTCCCTCTAGTCAGAAAAGATATCAGGTTGCTAAATGGAGATTTGAAACTCTTATGGATTTTCCTTTTGTCTTTAAGAATCCCCAGTATGACTTTGGAACTTTCTTTGTTGTTTGATGTTTCCACTTTCTGGATTTGAAGATTAGGGCTTTGGTTTTTAAGTTTGTCTTTCCAGAGGTTTGCGAATACAAAACTTTTGACAGGTTGATAAATATTCTACTCCAATAAGAATGGTGGATTTTCTTATTTTTACCAGAATCTTGTTTTAGTTTGTTAAAATATACAGATATGTAAAATAAAATAATACTCTAGACAATGTCTTAAGATTGTAGGTAGTAATGCATACTACTGCATTTGAATTATAAAAGCCTCAACTGTAAAAAGGTTTTTTGATGGAATCATGAAAATTCAGCATTTCTTTTTCCCTTTCACCAAGCTATAGCATGAATGTTGGACATGGACCTTTATAAACAAAAGTCTTCCTTTTCATTGCTGTGGGATTTTCCAACAGTGAAAAAGAAGATGAGGAAGGACAGTATTCTTCAGTGGGGATCTCCTGCACTGTCTAGATATTTCTGATCCACTTGTTTCAAACTAGACTGGGTTTTTCCGGGCTTGGTTTCTTGCGAGGTGAAATAGAGAGAACTGCATAAACACGGGAGGTGCTTTACAGAAGAGAGAAGAAGCTCCTTGTTTTCCTCAGTCCACAGTGCCCATAAATACCTTGATAAAATACCTTGTCTCAGTGTGAGGCAGGGAGCCTGCCCTCTGAGAAGGAGAAAGACCAGCAAGTCCCTCCAGTGCTGGTGAGGCTGCACCAGGTCACTGGGACACACTTCAGGCAGTGTGGATGGAGCAACAGGTTGCCACATGCTCCAGAATGGCATCCATACACAAAGTTTAAGGGCTGTGGGGGACTGAATGAGCTGTTCACTACATTTTTCTGGTAGTTTAAAAATCTCTAACAATTTTGGGGCATCTTAGATTTTAAACTGATTGTACGAATAATTTGCTGTTTAGTTTTTAAAATTAAATGCTTCTGGAATAATGGAGACCCTTGTAAAGTACAGAGAGTTAAGGCTTTTCTACTGGTTTTGTACCCTCCATCCATATTTTGAAAACTAACACACCAAGATACTTGTGAGCGTTTAAGATACTTGAGAGTGTCTCTGCCTGAGTGACTTTATATTTAGTAAGAATTTAGATATGAAGTCATCTTCAGAATACTTGCAAATCATAAACCGTGCTATATTAATGTGAGATCTATACATGCCATGATAAATCAACATTGCTTAGAGCAATTCATAGTAAATCTGTGGCTACCAGGACATCTGCTACTAAACGTCCATCTTTCCATGAAGTACGTTGTTTATCATAAGTTACTCAGAACGAGGTATCATATTTCTTAATTCTCACATGCTGAAAAAGTGAGCACTGAAGTATTTGACAGAGTGAGCTCCTCTTGCATTTTTTTTGTTCAGTCAGTTCTTTGCAGCTGCAGGCAATGTCTGGTATTTCAAACTGTAGTTTGAAATATTTCAATAGGGCTGATAAATGGCAGGTTTTCATGACTCAAGTTTTAGTATTATGAATGTTCTTTGTCTTGTCTAATTCAGGTTGAATATGAAGGCTTAAAGCATGAGATTAAACGATTTGAGGAGGAGACAGTGTTGCTTAATAGCCAGCTAGAAGATGCCATCCGGCTGAAGGAGATTGCTGAGCATCAGCTGGAGGAAGCTCTGGAAACTTTAAAAAATGAAAGAGAGCAAAAGAACAATCTGAGGAAGGAACTCTCCCAGTATATCAACCTCAATGATAGTATGTATAATAACCATATTAATATATCAGTAGATGGATTGAAGTTTTCAGAGGACGGGGGAGAGCCCAACAATGATGACAAAATGAACGGACACATCCACGGGCCTCTCGTGAAACTCAACGGTGACTACCGAACTCCCACGAGTAGGAAAGGAGAATCTCTGCATCCCGTCTCTGACCTCTTCAGTGAGCTCAACATATCAGAAATACAGAAACTGAAGCAGCAGCTCATGCAGGTAAGAGCTGAATTTAATGTCCTGAAGTGTTTAGACACACATCCTATGAACCCTAGTGCCAGTTTTAGAATGATTATTCCCAGTGACGTTCTTGACCACGTGTGCTTTTTTCAGACTTCTACTTTGGTGGGTTTTTTATATCCAGGTTTTGCTAGAAATATTCCTAGTAAACACAGTATCTGTCTGGAAAAAAGTCAATGTGATCTGAGTAGATATTTAGTACAAAGAGCAGAAAGGGACCTAGTTGCTGGGGTTGCAGAAGGTTAGATTTTTTTTTCCCTGCTTTGATAACGGCAGATGTCCCTGAAATTGCAAGTGGAATAAAGTACTCTTCAATATGACCAAACCTATCTGGAAAAAACCCCACTAAAATACAGGCAGGCTTGGTTATGCTCCCTTTTGCAAGTCAGAGGGAGTTTTTGCCATTAAATTCAGCTTGAACGAGGTTTGGCATAATGTCAAGGGAGAACAAAAGGAGAGGAGCACTCCTCTTAATAGCCGTGCACAGGGAGAGCATGTGGCGTGTGAGATGTCACAGAGCGCCCTTGTCCGCGCTGGCAGTGCCGGTGGATGCGCAGGCTGCAGGGGGTGCCTTGGGGACCGTACAGCGAGTGTTTGTTCTCTGTGCATCCAAGCCCAGCCCAGGCACAACCAGAACAGGAGCCTGGGATGCAAGCCAGAGAAAAACTCAAGCTGCCAGCCCCGATGTTGACATCATCTTAGAAGGGGTACAGTGCCACACAGAGAAAGGGTCCTGCTGCCCGAGCTGTTGAGCATCTTGTCTGCCACAAGAGCTTGAAAGATTTTGGCACCCTCAAGGAAACATCCAGCATTTTCTAGCTTCAGACTTCTAAATAGTGCCTCTTCTAAAGAGAAGAGTAATTGTGAACTCCTGACTGCTTAAAATGTAAAAGGTGATTTGGAAGTAAAGTAGAGCAAACCCAGTTTTCAGTGCTTGCTGGAGAACAATAAATCCCTATGTCATCTGTCCTATTTGCTGGAGAGTTAATTGTTTTATTTACTTCATTGCCAAACTCACTGTGGGAAGTTTTGATCTGAGCTGCGACATGGTGAACACTGATGACATCTAGTGCTTTGCACAAATAACTTTGATGCAAACCATACATAATTTAAATGGGAAAGCTTGAAATTTAGAATTTTATATAAGTGAAAAATTCTGTCAAAATTTTCCAGTGTCAAAAGGTACAGTGTGTATGTTTTGTATATGTATGCATATATACAAATAAGCATGTGTAAGTACATATACATGTATCTCTGTAATATGTGCACATATGGATTATATGTAGCTTCTAATTTGGTTCAGAAATCCAATGTTAAAAATTTTGAAAACACAGTTTCAAAGGAAATGCTTTGAAATGTTCATATTTTAAAATACAGCGTAAGCACTTTAAACCATAATTTATCATGAATTTTATGCAATATAAATTTGGAGTGAAAGCTTCTCAGAAATGAAAAAAAAAAAAGGATTGCTTTGGTCATACTTTGTCTTGATTGTACTAAATTAAATATTGAGCTTGATGAGTCAGCAGATTTCTTCTTGAAAGATCCCGGAATTGGTGTTATCTTCTCTGACTTAAAAACTTATTTATTTTACATCTCTTAAACAAAGAGGCAGCCTTCTGACAGTCACTAGCCACAGACTTAGGACCCCAGAAAATACTTATAGCCATTTTAGTCATAACATTTTTTGGTGCTGGGCTCCAGTACCTCCATGCCAATAGTCACCACCATTGCTTGGCATTCTCATCCTGTTGAAAGGTTTATGGTTTAAAAAGAAGGATTAGACCTAGATGAAAGCCTGATTTCTTTAGATACTGAAAAGACTGACTGCAAACTGCTGGTGTGTACTTTGTGAAAGGTGGTCATCTTCACTGTTGAGCTGCATCAGCTCACCTTGGGTCATACAAATTAAATGTGAAAAATTCCTCCAAAAGTTTTCCTTATAAATGGGAGACTTAATTGGGTTCAAGTTGACAAAAAGTCTTTGCCATGTAGTGTTCATTCAGTCATATCTCAGTATTTGGTACATGCTCCTCTTGTTTTGTTCGAAGAGGCTGCACTATGACAGAGTTCCTCAAAGAACTGACCCTTTTTTGGGAACTATTTTTATGTCTATAGGACAGCAACTTCAATTTTTTGAGAGAAGCAAACTTCAGATTTGCAATTTTATAAGTGCGTGTGGCAAATTTTTTTAACTCCCCAATCTCATAAGGAAGCTTTCACTAGAACACTTAGTATGACAGATATAATTCCTTCTGCAGCTTTATGTTGCTTCTGCTTCATGAGCTGTGCTGGTCTCTAGGAGATATCTATTTGCAACTATTCCCTTTCCATATTTTATATCCTCAATGTAACAAATGTCTTGCTGAAAATTCTCATATTCTGAGATTTTCTCAGAATAGCTCAAGGCTTTCTGCTCTCCCCTCGTGTTTGTTGTCCAGTGCCTAAGGCTCCTCTCTTCTTTCTGTGCTCATGCTTTCCCTGTTCCTGAGGCCAACATCATATTTGGAAAACTTATCTTAAGTTCTGTTAAGAAAGGAAATTAAAAAAACCCTCATGCAGCCCAGTCTCTGACACTCCTTTTCAGCTCCCTTGTACTCTCTGACAAATATGATATGGCTGAGATTCAGGGTTCTTAAGCTGAGTTCTCTTGTTTGTTCCAGACTCCTCTAGGAATTGTTCACTGAAATTCTGATGTTATTTAAAAAAAAAAAAAAAGGTGGGTAAAATTGGTTTCCATAATTGCAAACTATAGAGCAAATTGGGAAGAAAATCTCCTCAAACTGAAATCTTTGAAGGGGAGAATGCATTGCAAAATAAGTACTTTTGAATTGCTTTTATTTTAATTTTAAGATTATAAGAAACCTTTATGCAGCTACCAGTTTCAATACCTAAAAACCCTCCCACCAACTGGACTGAAAAATAACTGCAATTCCCGTAAGTTTGCTGTGGTGGAAATAAGAGTATAGTATGGTTTAGAACAAGAAATATAATTACCATACTTGGGAACAGCAGAGTCATTAATATTCAAAAGGTATGCTCAGGGCCGAGCTGGAGCTTTGGGGTTTTTTCCCTGGGAAATGGGAGCACGCATTTAAAATTTTAAATGGAAGCGTATTGGCTTCTATTACTGGGTCAGAATGAATAACATTTAGTAGATCTATGTATTTCCTTTTGCCTATTGTCCAAGTTAATATACGGGTTTTAAAAGTCACGTTTTCTATGGGAAGAATCCTCTCTATCTGAAAGTAGTATGTTTCCAGAACACATTTATGTTCAGTAGAGAAATTATCATCAGGATCCAAATTAGCTCAGTTACAGTTTTTCTTCATGATAGAGTATGATGGCTGAGATCAGTAATCCTGCAGGATCAATTCTTTCTGATTAATTTAAGTGGACACTGAAGCACTGTGCTGCCTTCACACCCAGTTGTTATCTCAAGGGAAAGGCTCTCTGGCTCTGTAAGCTCTGTATTTATTTTTACACTAGTGCAATCTACAGTGAATTACCTACTTTGGTGTGAACATACCCACAGTGGACCCATACACTTTATAAAGCCAACTGCTTTTGGTGTGTTCTTTATTATCCGTACAATTTCTCACTATAAGGTGAGATGGTCCTTTAAATTAGTCAAAACACAGTTTTTTCGTGAATATGCATCGCTCACCTTACCAGCCTGAAGGAATAAATACCTGACAAGGGTAATGTATCTAACACTGAAGCCTTCAGGCAGCTCAGTGGAAAAGAACCCAGGAAAACTAGGGAAGAGATTTCTGCTGGGTTGATCTCTGAGGTTTCCCAGGACAGATCTGACCAAGAGATCTGTAGGAAGTGGTCACCTTTTAAGAAGATGCACTTGGCAAAGGGGAATTTTGCCTTATTTTGGATTTTCTCAACAAGAGTGGACTGACTGTTGTCAGTGGCGGGGGCTGAGCAACAATGAGATTGGGAGGCACACAGGGACAGTGACAGGGGAACAACAAATAGAGAAGGGTACCAAAATACTGGTGGTTCTTGGCTGTCTTCTTCCGCATAGACTATGTAGTGCCAAAAATGGAACACCTTATATCTAAGGAGATAGACTCTTCCTGATTCATAAAATAATAATGTGGTTTGGCTCTGGTTTTTAAATTCTTAAGTCGTCAGTCCCCTGTTCACAAAAAACTAGGCTGATTTTTTAGATGTTTTTAACACGGCTTCTATTTTTATTCGTACAGTTTCTGCCTGCAGTTGATTTCAGATTCTAATGGAGGCCATCTTTTGAAAGCCTGTCTGTAAAACCAGGGGGTCACCATATGCTTTAATGTCTTAGTACTTCTGAGCAGCAGCCACTGCTCAAAAGCCTAGTTTTGAGAAAACAGGAGCCTGAATCACTGCTTGGAACATTTTTTGAGATGGCATTAATACCCTCTCAGTTTCTAAAAGGCTTTTCTTTTCCTTTACTGAGATTCGTGGTGGCTAATTTGACTCTCTTCCAAATACTACTGAAAGGGAAGGAAAGGTTTGGTGGTTTTTTTTTTTAAAAAGGTTCTTTTCAGAACTGAAAGCTTTTAATTCTCAGAATTAGTAATTCCACCACTCATAAAGGGAATGTGGAGAATGCCATTTTCATTGCATGTATAAACACAGGGCTGAGATACTGCAGCCAGAGCAGTGAAAGAGCAGTAAACTTGGTAGGCCCAGGGTCCTATACAAAAGCCATGAAAGCAAATAGGATCCTAACTCCATATGCCTTCCTCTGCTTCCCAATTCACGACTCAGAACAGGATGAAGGCACAGGAGAAAAGTTGGGGCATTACACTTAAAACTTGAAATGCGAGTCTTTCAGGGGTGTTATCACGAGTAGCGAATATGTGAGTAGATCAAACTTGTAAGTTTGTCTTGTTCACTTACTTTAGGATGCTGTGCATTAAAACTTCTAGAGGTGTCCTCCATGACCTCTTCTTTTGTTCAACATCCACATTTATATGTGGGTATTCAGAAAGGAATTTACTAGGTCAGAAGGTGATACCACAAGTCCTGCTTTTTCTGGTTTGGCCTTAAACAGATGAATTTCACTTACAGTTAAGTGGCTGGGGATGGGGAGTCCTGGGAGTTGCACATGCTCAGTCTCCTGGTCTGTGTTACATTTCCACACAGCAGGTTATTTAATCTGTGGAAATGTACACAGCTATTTGTTTACTGTGTTTGCCATAATGAAAGTTTGCAACAGTTCAAAGATATAAATGCATATTGTGAAGGATTGGTGGAACTATTAATGGGAAATGTAAATTCAAACTCTATTGAGAAATGTGTATGTACCAGTAGAATGGTTTATAGTTGACAGTGATGCAGTTCCTCTGTTCAGGGAACATATGTCCTAATAAATCACTTAGTGCTTAGTAATTCTTCAGTGGGCAACATGTAAAATTGTGACCTAGTGATATTGCAAATTGTAACAGAGGCTGGGACTTCCCAAACCTCTGAGAGTTACATGGATCTATGACTTAATTTTATGGTTTAGGCGTATATGGCTAAAATCTCTCGAAAGCACTCAGATTGTTTACAGCTTGTGGGAATGGAAGAAATTAATGTGATTTCAGAGCTTGGTATTCAGCATGGGTAGGATGAGGTCCTGGGTGTCTTACTTTGACTGTGTTGCAGGTGGAGCGAGAGAAGGCCATTCTCCTGGCCAACCTTCAAGAGTCTCAGACGCAGCTGGAGCACACCAAGGGAGCCCTGACGGAGCAACACGAGCGAGTCCACAGGCTCACAGAGCACGTCAATGCCATGAGGGGACTGCAGAGCAACAAGGAGCTGAAAGCTGAGCTTGACTGTGAGAAGGGCCGAGACCCTGGTGAGGAAGCACACGACTATGAAGTGGACATCAATGGCTTGGAGATCCTAGAATGTAAATACAAAGTAGCTGTTACTGAGGTGATAGACCTTAAAGCAGAAATCAAAGCCTTAAAGGAGAAATATAACAAGTACGTGGAAAACTACACTGAAGAGAAGGCCAAGTATGAGAGCAGAATCCAGACATATGATGAGCAGGTGACAAGCCTGGAGAAGTCGACCAAGGAAAGCCAGGAAAAAATGGTCCACATGGAAAAGGAGTTACAAAGGATGACAAGCGTAGCAAACGAAAACCACAATACCCTCAACACTGCCCAGGACGAGTTGGTGACATTTAGCGAGGAGCTGGCTCAGCTCTACCATCACGTCTGCCTGTGCAACAATGAGACACCAAACAGGGTCATGTTGGACTATTACAGGCAAAGCAGAGTCACCCGCAGCGGGAGCCTGAAAGGACCGGACGACCCTCGAGGCCTCCTTTCCCCACGACTTGCCAGACGGGGGGTGGCATCACCCGTAGAAGCCAGGACCCCGACCGAGCAGGTGACTAAGGAAGCCCCAGAGCCCGGCAAGGAACAGAGCCCAACAAAAACACCTACCATTTCTCCTGTCATCACAGCCCCTCCTTCCTCCCCCGTCTCTGACACCAGTGACATCCGCAAGGAGCCTATGAACATCTACAACCTCAATGCCATAATAAGGGACCAAATCAAGCACTTGCAGAAGGCTGTGGATCGGTCGCTGCAGCTGTCGCGCCAGCGGGCTGCGGCTCGGGAGCTGGCGCCCATGATCGATAAGGACAAGGAGGCCTTAATGGAAGAGATACTGAAACTGAAATCACTCCTGAGTACAAAGCGAGAGCAGATCGCGACCCTGAGAGCAGTGCTGAAAGCCAACAAGCAGGTAAGGTGTTCATAAAACAGCCAGGAAAGTGTTATTTACACGGGTCACTTACAAGCTCTCCCAGGAGTATTTTGGAGGTGAGGTTTTACTCACAACCTCTCACTCGATCACCATCACGGCAAGGGCAGACCTTTGTCCCCTCCCTCCCCGCCTCCTCTTTAAGTACTTTAGCTCTGCTTTTCTCATCGGAATGCAAGAGGCTGCAGCATCATTGTTCCAGGTTGCCTGTGTCTTTTCTCATCTAAAAAGTGCAGTGATCACCACATGGGGGCATGAATCCTGGTTAACAGCTTGGCATACTATTAGCTGATGACAGTGATGGGATGTTGAAATTCCCAATAGTCAGCTATTCTGAAGTTACAATTTTGAGTTTAATTGATTGTTGCATCTGTAACTGCATTTCTAGGGTACTGGGGATTTTTAAATTGCAACAATATTTCAACATACGTTGAGTCTTTTATAGCATTTCCCCCCCTCTGATACAACACATGTTAAATATTAACTCAAGTAATTAAATACCATCTCTAGCTAAGCAATAATAGCTCTGAGCAATTATATGTGGGTTTTCCATGTAATTAAAACGTAATTAAGATGGAATTGATGTATATGGGTTTAGATATGTGATTCCAAATTAAAGATTTTTCCCATTAGCATAGAGCTATCATTTATTTTTGCTACTACCATAAAATCTAGCTCAGTCTCACTCTGTTATTGCTGTCAGAAATAAAGAATTATGCTAAGGCGTGCTCACTGAAATGGGAAAGATAAATTTGCTGACAAAGGAGCTGCTATTAACTAAACTTTTATTTATTGGATAGCAGCATAGATATTGGTAACTGTACAATTGGCCACAGAAACTTGCAATACTGTTCATGCAAACCTAATAACAACTTCCTCAAACTTTTAAGTTAAAAGACATAATAATATAAAGGGAAGCAGAAATTTAAGGTTAGAGTGGGAGAGTGATTTATTATGTGCCAGCCTCAAGTGGTGGGTGTATCCCAGGACTCAAAGTACATCTCATGTTCAAAAAACCATAAGTTAAGATTCATCCCTTTGAGCTCTTCCCCTTCAAAAGAATAAGTTTCTAAGCAGCAATAGGCTGGGGATGCTTTTCCCTTGTGGGTTTCAGTTTAGATGAGCCTACAGAGTACATCTGGTTCAGTTTTTCATGTTTTCTCTGTAACCACAAGAGCTATTCTTTAAAAAAAAATAAATAAAAGCCTTCCCTGAGTCATGGTGAAGCTGACATTAATATGACATTTTCACCCCTTACACAGCGTGGTAAGACACTGCTGGTGCCAAATGTAGCAGTGCAGAACTGCAGGAATTCCTTTCAAAGAGACAACCTGGCCCGTCCTCAGCCTCCAGAGCAGCCACATCTCATCTCGTTGTGCTCTGCAATACTATTACAAAACACTTGTATTTGTTAGCACTCCAGACAGAGACACTTTAGGTGAAGCTTTTTAGTTGAAGTAATATGGGAAAGGAGGATGAGCACAGCCAGATGTACTGTAAAAATGCAAGACCTGGCCTTCCTAGAGCATCTCACCATTCAGATCTGGGCAGGGGAGTGAAGACCAGCAGCAGACCCTGGGTCTGATATTTTGGACTGTACTTAAGTAGTGAAAAAACACTCTTAACTGGGGAAGCACAGGTGCTACCTAGTTACCACCAGTAATATTGTCAAATAAGCATTTTAGTCTTAGGCTGGGCTTTAAAAAGACTACACAAAACTCTGTAACATGAAAAAAGAGCAAGATTTGCTCTAAGAAGTTGCAAACCTAAGACTGGGAAAATGGATTATTAAATCTATTAAATCAATTACTCAAGAAAGCAATGCACAAAGATCTTGCTTGTTTACCTTGTCTTGATTTATGTGTCCATTTGTTTGTAGCCATAATTACCATGTCAGCACCAGACTGGTGGAGCAAACATTAACAAGTAGCATAAATAAGGAAGTAATATCAAATTAATGATGCAATAACTTTTAGGATCAGTTCAATAATGGGTTTGATTTCGATTTCTAATAGCAATCAGAAAGCAAAGCTGGCTATGATGGGAATTTAATATCCTGAAGTTCTGATGGAGAACTGATTGGTTGTTTTCATTGGTAAATAATTTTATGAGAAGGAGTCAGCACGATTTTCACAAGTGCATTAGCAGTAACTATGGTGTCTTCAGCTCCCATAACTGAGATGCTCATAAAAGTCCTTCAGAAAAAATAACTTGATAACCCCAGACACACAGAACCTTATCTACAAAAAAATGCCCTGATATTATATAGAAAGAATACAGTAGAATTTCTTTGGGAAAGTGAGTCTCAGTGATAAGACCCAGTACCATGTACAATTTTAGCACTAAAATAACAGGCTAGTTTTCTGCTTTCTTGTGTGAAAAAAAGAGCACTTACCACCGTAGGATTTAATATTCATTCAGCAACAATTTTTTTAGTTGGTCTGCTTTCTCACACTGATAATGTAAAGTAAATGGGATACTAAGTCATCTTAGAAAATGAGATTTGTTCATGGATTTCAGGATGAAGGTGGCAACCTTTAGGCAGCAGAGTTTAGGCAAACATCTCCTCTTTAAGGATAAAGCAGTGGGATGAAAAGGATGCTGTTAGTTTTGGCAGTGCTTGGGGTGCTGGGGCTGAGATGTCATCACCTCCGCCTATGCAGCTCTGTGGCTGCGTGGGTTTTGGGGACAGAGAGGGAGGCTATGCTCTGTGTGCCCCAGCAATCTTTTCCTTTTTAGTGTTTCACACTCTGCTGGAGTCCAGGTGTTGGAGCTTTCTGCTCCCTCCCAGCCTTGCTGTCAATTCTAGGTGACTTCTCCTGCTCTGCAAACACTACGTGCTCTGTGAGCCATTAATCCTGTGTCTGCAGGCATGACAGGCTGAGAGGCTGAGTAGTCATTTGCCCAGTTCCTCAGCATGACCGTTCTGACAAGAGTGTCATTAGCACCTCTGCTGTCTTATTGCATTATTTACTTCAGTGAAGAGTATTCATGCATTTTTTTCTGTGTTTTCATCTTTTTTTCTTGTGCTCCCCATTTCCTCGTTTGTTGATCAGAGGTTGCATTTTTATGTGGAACAAAGTTCTCTAATTTTTCTGATAGAATTTTGTCCTTAACCACAGCTTGAAACCAAGTGCTTCAGAAAGAGCTGTTAAAATCAAAGCCAGGTCCTGGGCATCTGCTTCCCTCTGGCACCCACTACTTGGAGATGCAGGCTCTTGTTTGCCCCATCCTTCCTTTCTGAGCACTCTCTGAATGCACCATTCTAGATTATCTAAATCTAGATTAACCCACAGAACCAATTTCAAGCACAATCACACATATATGGCTCAACGGGTACAATTTTGGAGATTGGCTGAGGTGGGGAACAAATACAAATAATTTCAACAATAGCTGGTGCTGGAAGAAGAGTAGAATGAAGCTGTGGCTCCAGTTCAATTTGTCCCTGTTGGTCTTGGCACAGTCCAACAGTCCAGCCGAGGTGACCAGATGCATAAGTGCCTCTGTAAGACAGAAGCTGAGTTCCTCTTCTGCCCTCAGCCCCACTCCCCATCACACATTCTGGCTTCAGGGTGATTCAGGCAGGTTTTCTACCTCTTCAGGCTCCCTAAACTGGCTCACAGTAAGCACAGAAAAAAAACCAGGAGGTGTGCAAAGGGTAGGGATGGGGAAAAGCTGGGTAATTACTCTTCTGGTGGCAGCTAGCCAGTATAGATTGGCTTAGCTGCATTATAAAATGGCAGCCTCTGAGCTGAGGAGTCTGACAGAAATTGGCTTCAGTCAGCATCCAGATCCCAAACCCATGAGCTGTGGGTAACCTGAGCATCTGCACTGTCTGGTGCCCACTGGCTCTTACAAGGACTTCCTCAACTTCTCAGCTGACCCTGACTGTGGGTTTCCAGCAGAAGCTTCCTCAGCTTCCCCCTTCTTTCTCTTGCTGTAAACCCAAATTTTCTGTTAGTTTTATTTGCTCCTCTAGCAGAGCACTTGGGTCCATTTGTTCTTCACTTTGGAGGCTTTCAGAAGGGGGACCCTTGACAGCCTGCACTGGGCTGTGCTCAAAAGCTTGGCTGGTGCTTGGAGAGCCATGAGACACTTTCCATAAGATTTTAAATTTATACTTTGTTTTCTATATGTTGTTTTATAGGAAAATTTAAAAGGAAGGAAAAAAGGTTTGAAGATTTGACACAATCCTTCCTCTGTTACTTTTATTCACCAAGTAAATTATATTGCTAAGTTATTTTTCATCCTGTAGTGTTATATGTCCATTTAACTTACCCTGACATCCAGAATAAAACGTAGGGATCACAATCTGTCTGATCATTTTGCACAGTGATGTGTTTCAGTGATGTGTAAATTACTGGGTTTACATGGAATATGTAAGCCTGCTGCTGAAATAATGCAACAGTTAAAAAAAATATAAATAAGACTAGCATTAGGTGGTACATATCTTTAACTCATTTTCATTCCTAAACAACAGCAAAAAAATCTTTAAGTGAATCCTGTGTTCAAAGATGAGGTATGATAGGTTAAGGGATATGAGGCTGTATTTCTCTTACAAAGCAAAGATGTCTGAATTCCTGCCTTAGGGGCAAAGCAGAACTCATTTTGAACTATAGAGTCCACCTGTGCTCTCATAAATCACTTCTACGTCATTAGTGACCTGAAAATTCAAACAAATCTAATTTAATCATAACTGTTAAATAGGAATTTTTCCTCTGATGCACTATTTCCTGGATTTCCATTCAAAAAAGTGGATTTATTAAACATAGTTAATCCTTCCTCTCTATGTTAATTTATGACTCTACATTTTTGGTCATGGCTGAAAACAGAAAGAAAGCTGATGATTTCTGCTTTACTCTGCCAAGGCATAGGATGGTGTCTACATTGAACCAAAGCATATATGAGCAAGGTTAAAAAAAGCTGAATGATTTAAATATATCCCAAAGTGGTTGATATTTTTAACATGTGTCGTTGATGATATCAAATTTAGATTGGAAAAAAAATCTATTTAAAATGGCAGGTGTTACTACTAGTGACTTTTTAAAATCTCTTCTCTTAATGTAAATTAAGAGAAAGCAGAGAAGATATTATTGGTTAGTATACAATTTAAATAATTTAAAAAATTATTTTAATGCTCCCATTGCTAGCTGTGCTATTTCCCCAGACACAGATGAATAAAGTTGTATTTTGATAGGAGATTCTAATATGTCCTTTTATTAAGAGACACTGCTAGTGGGAAATGTATTGGGTTTCAGAAAACTGAGTTTGAAATCAGTTTCCAGCTGTTTGGCCATTACTGTATTTTGTCCTGTTCCCTTGTTGATTGCTTTAAACTAATGTTCTCCTACACTTCTCTCCCCTGGTGATGATTCAAGAATCCACAACAGGGGAAATTGATTGCCTATATGAAATGCTGCAACTTATGCACTAAACAAAGTGCAAAAACCAGCCATAACCCTCTCTGAGTAAATGTAAAGGGAAATACATTTTCCTTTATCTCATTCAAAAGCGATAATTTTAAATGTCTCAAAGCAGCAGTAGGTATAAAGCCTCTATAAAACTGTGTGTTGTGAATAACTTCAAAACAATACTAAACTCATAGCAGAAAGCTCAAGTCTTGCAAGGATAAGACAAATGTAACTATTAAAAGCAGTAAGGTAGTAAATTAAAGAAATTTAATGGATGAGACAGAAAAAAAAAAGGAAAGAAAGGAGCAGCAAAAATTTAGGAATTGGACAAATACAAACCCTTTGCTCTCCTGTTAAATGACAGTTGTAATTTACAGGGTTTTTTGGTTTGGTTTTTGTTTGCTTTTGGGTTTTTTTTTTTGTAGTGGTTAAAACTGCCAAAATAATGCTAGTTTGCACAGCAGTAGGCATTGCCAGTTCCCAAACATAAAAGCAAGCTGTCAGGTCCTGGCTGTCCCCACACGCAAGGAAAGGCTCAACTGGCAGGAGGCATGAGGCCAAACACTTGTGGTCATAACTTGGCTGCACAGGCTGAGCCTCATGTGCTCTGCATCCTGTTTGCACCATGGCCAGGGGACACACCTGCTTGTTTGCTGCAGCTCAAACAACATGGTAGCAGTTCCTTAAGCTGCAGTAACATATTCACTTGCCTGTGTCCTCAACATGCACCTGCACAGTTTTGCAGAGACGCTTAAAGTGTTGAGTTGTTGCCTGTGCATTGAAACAGGCTTTGTCCTTTCAACTACTTTCTCCCTTTCCTGGTTGCATGGAGTACAACTTAAAAGAAGACATTAAAGTGTGCAGTACAACAACGATCAGGTCTAACTTTTTTTACTGTGTGAATGAAGAAGGACATCAAAACCAAAATCAGACATGGCATCTTAGGTGTTATCAGATATCGGGCTCATAAGCATATATCCTTGTTTGTGTTTTTAGACAGCTGAAGTGGCACTAGCCAATTTGAAGAATAAATATGAAAATGAAAAAGCAATGGTGACTGAGACCATGACCAAACTACGGAATGAATTAAAGGCTTTGAAGGAAGATGCAGCAACCTTCTCATCCTTGAGAGCAATGTTTGCAACCAGGTAAGGGAAATGGTGTCACCGTCTGGCTCAGAACTGTAAAAACAAATATGTGTGTACTAAGTGACAACGGCCTTAGCCATGTATGTTGGGTGCTTAGGAGGAGAGAGAAATTATTTTCTGCAAGGTCAGAGGTTTGCTGGATGAAGGTGAATGAGTCCTAGAATGCACACTGTGCAAAACTTGGAAGCTTTCAAGTGCTACTGAGCTGCGTGTCTTGGAAAATAAAGCTGGAGAATAGCAATGTCAATACAACCTTGAGTAAATTGTTATAAATGCCAATATATGCTTGCCGTATATTTGCATTTATAGAGCTTTTTAAAGTGGAAATCAAATAGTAGATTTACGTGGCTGCTTTTCCCATTCAGAAGTACGCAGTGATTCTGTCATGTAAAGCTATCGTACGGTTAATGATGATCTTCAGAATCTCATGTTTTCATTACAATGAGATTCATTACTTACCACTAGAAAAATCTATTTCATCAGCCAGCCTATGCTGTAATCCAGCACTAATAATTGTAAGGCCACTGTAATTTCCCACTCCAGCATGAATTCTTATTTTCTCTCACTGTGATGTTCAATTTATTATCTTCTCCTTCACAAAATAAGTTTAACTGATCTTCTGTAACATAGTTCATCCTGGCAGGACAGTAATTAATCATCTTTCATCTTTCCTTCTCCCACACCTTCTTCAGAGGAGCTTTTGGTTTTACACTGAGTCACAGAATCAAGTGGGTTGGAAAAGACCTCTGAGATCCTTGAGTCGAACCTATGACCAGACACCACCGTGTCAACTAGACCGGACCAACTCAGGGCCACATCCAGTCTTTCCTTAAACACTGCCAGGGAAGGGGGCTCTACCACCTCCCTAGGCTGTCCATTCCAATGTCTAATCACCCTTTCTGTGAAGAAATTCTTCCTAATGTACAACCTAAAACTCCCCTGGTGCAACTTAACACTATGTTACCTAAAAATAATTTTTTTTAAAAATCCAACATTTTGATCAATAAACTCTTAATTCACAAGTACACAAGCAAATGATTATCCTAAGGAAATTATTCTGTTAGATTAGGACTTTTTTCCCCCCTTATGGTCAAACACAGTGCAGATTTCTTCTTTGTGCTTTAGTCCACAAATGATAAGACGTCGTGCCTCATGTCAACATCTCTCCAGTGCTCCCTGTGGTATATAGGTGCTGTCTCACCACTTCCAGCCTTCTAAAGTCACAGTGGCAGCAGCAGCTGGGAGAGGTGGGAAGGAAAGAGAAGGGACATTTATGTGTCATGACATTGGTGCTGTGTACAAATTCATCATAGGTTCATCGTCGGAAGAGTTCGTGTAGTGACATAATGGAAACGAAGACCCAACTCAGCAGGTGGTGTGAACCAAGGTAGCCTGATTGATTTCATTGGCATCTAAAGATTTTCTTCAAGAAAGGAAAGCTGTGTGTGTGTGTATTAGAAATGCATGTGTTGATCTTTACTTGCAAGCTCATTACTCTAGGAGATACATGAATGTACTAACTCTGTAAGACTCCCTGGAAGGCGGCTAACTCTGGAGGAGAGGAGTGGCATCGTGAGCATAAAGCAAACAAGTGTCTTGCATGGAGCATAAATCATCAACCTACGAGGTAAAAGTAGTTTGCGAAGATTTAGAAGTTAATTAAAGGGAATGTTAGAGTGCTGGTGTACTGAATGCTCCTTACCTTATTTGGGCATCCTGAGTGCAGACTTATGTGGGTTTAAGGCATATCCTAAAGCTGGTGGGAGACAGCAGCATCTCTTCCATGAGAATTAGGCTTAAATGATGCCATTGATCCAGGAACCTTTTCTAGATGTCTTGTGTGTAGGATGCAATGAAGCTTCTATTTCTCTTCAATGAACTATAAAGGGAGTCTGAGTGACTTGCTGAGTTACAGATATTCACTTTATAAATGTCCAATGTTATCAGAGATAACCCCCAATCAAAGCATCTAGTGCTGTTGGTAAACTCCATGCAGTAGTGATTAAACACTCAGTGTATGGCCTATGGAACATATCCCTGCCCTTGAGATCATAAGTTTTGCCAAGTATTTTCTGAGCAGAGTTATAAAAGATTATTCACTACAAGGTCTTGCACATCAGCGTGCTCCTATAGATTTTTCCATTGTAATATATTCATTTTCCTTCCTTAGCGTGGAGTTTAATGGCCTTTATAATTAAATCAGTCTTCCTAAATGTTCAAATCATTGACTCATTCCAAATAGTCCATTTCGAAGAGCATTTGTTTAAATGACAGTAAGCTGATATATTCTAGAAGTCTGTTGAAGAAGAGAAATCTGTTTGAAAATACAGGACACTTAAGATTCTTGTGCAGTAACATTAGATGCAATAGCTCTAGCATAAAAAAGCAATTGTTTCATCTTTAGTTGAATAAAACAGTGGTTTCCATGGTTACAGTGCATCACATGGTACTTACTCCAGAAATTTGTACCATAGGGAGATCATCCCTCTGATAGTAGGGTTGTATTAAAAATCTGAAAATGATTGCATATACTGTTTGATAGAACAATATCCTTTCACTTTCATAAACCATCCTTTTCTGTTCAGTTGGTCGCCAAATGGATGTTCATTCTGGTGCTGAACTGTATGGTTTCTTCCTTAAATGCACTGAATAAAGGTCACAACATGTTATAAGGAGAGCACAGGACATCTGTTTCTGGTCTGAACAGCAAAGATAGCACTTATCTCCAAAGCTCCCTTATGCAGAAAGCAGGAGTCCTCCTTTTTCTGTGTTTTTCCCTGACACTTTTTCATTCTTCCACTTCTTAATTTCTTTCTTCAGTTCATCTTCCTCTCAACAGTCCTTCTGTCCTGCTTGTACTTCTACTTTTCTGTTTTTCCTTCTGGGACTCCTTTTTAACCCAAAAAACGGATTCTGATCTCTACAGCTTCCTCCTTCACTTTTGTGATCCCTTTCTGGAATTTTTTTACTTCATACCTGTCAAGAATATGTCCTCAATATAGTTCAAGCTCTCCTTTCCCCTACCATGTCTCAGGAAAAAAAAAACCCATAAAAAATCTCTTCTGTGGGATATAAGGGTTTGGCAAAGCAGAGTTGAAGGTTCTATTTCATGCCAGAGCCATGTGTAGCCTACCTGATTTGCAGCTTCTGCCTTTAGCCTGCTTGTTTTATCCTGGGCTGCTTCTGGTATTCCCAGACCAGAGAAAATGGTGAGAGCCTTTCCTGCCTCTCCTTTTGTTTCCCCTCACTCCACCCCTGAGTTGCTGACCCAAGGTGGGAGCTGTGGGAGTGTGAAGCAGTGAGCAGCACTCATCCAGGGGTGGATAAACTCTTTAAAACATTCATTTTCCAGTCTAGAGTAGATGTTGCCCTGTGAGAGGAAGGGAAGTCCCATGCTGAAGGAGAGAAGGAACTACTTTTAAAGCAGGAACCCAAAGGGATTCAGGAAGCTGATTTTACTGAGTCCCTACACGTGCTTGCTTTCCTAGTCTAAAAGGAGATACTTAAAAGGAGAGAACAGGAAATATTACTTCCGATATTGCCATAGTCCTGACACTGCAGACATGGATTTTATTCTTCATCCATCAAGATGTTTTCTTATGATTAATATTTAAAGAAAAAAGTGTGCTGAAGAGATGGACTAGGAAGATTGGACAGGTCCTGGAGATGAGGAAACTTTTATGAGCGGAAGAGAGTTATGATTATATGGCTAGAGCAGGGAACTGTCACTGTCACCGGGTTTTAGCTCAAGCTCTGCTGTGATTTATGTTACCTAAATTACGCATAAGCCTGGTTCGGTATTTGGTTTACATTCCTAGACGAGAGAGGGAGATGCAACTAGAAATCCCTTAAAATCCTATATAAGCTTCTTGGATCAGTTCATACAAAATAAGTGGGCTTATGTGTCTGTCTGCTTCCTTTCTGAGACAAGAGAAATGAGAAATAGGTGAAACCTTGACTTTTGCTCTGGCAATGAGTAGACCAGCAGATAGCAAGATAACAGTGCTGGTTATTTAATAGTCACTTGTAGACTACACCTGTCCTGGGGTGAGGGAAGAACTGGGAAAGAGCTCTGACTCGGGAGGACATAACTTAACTTTTGTTATTTACTACTATTTGAGTCCTTCTGAAAGACTGTTCAAAGCCCTGGAGCATCCTGGAGCCCTGCTCAGAACACAGTGGTCAGTATCATGCCAGAAGTCATGTCTTTGAGGAGCTCTTAACCTTTTTCTTCTTCATTATCCTGTGAGACTTCACAATTGTTTGTCAAACACGTGGGCGAAAGGCAATATGGATGTGTGTAATGCTTTTTTATTTTTTAATTGGAAACACTTCTCTTTTCATCTCACACTTGCACATATCTAGGAATATTTCAGTGAAGGGAAATGCTATGGCTGCAGGCAGTAGTTACTTCCCATTGTATGGAATAACCTTCAATGCTGCAAACTTCAGGGAGATCTGAGACTGTTAATTCAGCAGTTTCTAAAGTTAATTATGGCCTTTATTTGACTGATTTAGGTTTAACCTTTCTGAACGCTGTTTCTCAAAAAAGAAAAAAAAAAAGCTTGAGCAACAAAACCCGGAGACAAGGTACTGTGTGTTTGTGGTGGAGGTCAGATGACTGGAACCACCCAAACACTGCAGTGAACTGCCAGAAGTGTGGGATTCCTGTTATGGGGAGATTTCTAGGAAGGACATATAATTAATTAGATGGGTTGAAAAATGTGATTAGTTTTGTCTCAAGTATGAAACCAGCTAACAGCATCTAGTATATACAGATTTCTTGAGCCAGCTTGATATAGTTCATAGCAGGCAACAAAAAGCGTGTTTGTCTGAGTCTGCTTTACTAATAGCCACCTTCATGGCACTTATGTCTCTTAACTGTTCAGTTGTGCTGTTTTACAAACCAGGTGTTACTTTTAAAAATTTTCAACAGAAAACTATTTGGAAAAAAAAAGATGTCTCCTAGGCAAAGAGGAAAGCGGGAGAGAATAAGAGGTGGATACAGGATCCATCTGGTTACAAGAACAAGTCTTTAAGACTCGGGCAACACAGACATTAAAGTCAATTAATTTGAAATAGGAATTACTATAATCTGCAGAATGCTGATTTCATTCTAGTATCTCTGTCAAGGAAGCTGGCTTAAGCATCAATAGACATTTCATGGCTTGGAGCAGAAATAGGTGTGCAAGTTGTCTTTAAGCCAACCAGCATTTCATAAACATCTCTCTACTTCAAGGCTTGAATAGCAACAGTCATGCTTATTAAGGTCCTGTGAAAGTAAGGTAATACTGAAACTGTAGATGAAACTGTGTCTTAGTAATTTTACTTCCAGTGCCTGAATTATTCAAAAGGAGAGTGCAATATATATGTAAGTGTTTGCGTGTGAAGAATAACAGCAAATTTTCAAGTATACTTTGTTTCTGTTTCCCAAGGGGAAGATTAAAATTTCAGAGAAATTAGTTCCATCCCTCAGTTTGCAATAATTCATGTTTAGTGCATCACACATTTTGATAAGGAAAACTAAAATAATTTTCTATGCTTGTTTTCTGTGAGTGATACTGATAAAGTTACATCCTCATCCATTACACAATTGCAATTACACAGCAAAGCTACTTAGATTTATACAGATTGCGTGGGAAGGAGATTTGGCAAAAGCTGCATCATTTAACATGCCTTGGATATTGCCACAAATCTCTGATGGTCAGACAGTATTGCTATCTCTGAATCATCTCTCTGCTGGCGTACATTTATAGCTCTTGGTTCTTACTGATTAGATGGTCTATTGCTAGCAAACTGAAGCTATTTATCTTCAAAAAATGACTTAAGACTATCTTGAAATGCCTTACTCTTCCTGTTAACTTTAGGAATTATTTCTTAAAGCAGAACTAAATTTAATTTGGTCTTAGATATTAACAAAATCATAAAAAAGGTGGTTTTAGTTCTCAGAGTTCAAAAGCAAACGAAGGGAGTTTTTCATGCAGATAAAAGAGGCTGAGAGTTAAAAAGGAGTAGGTGACCATGATGAACATCTGAGCACACCTCCAAAATATTCAACAGTAAATGTGAAATAATTCCAGATGCGGGGTTTTCTGAATAGTACTTTTTAATAAGTTAACAATGGCAAATAACTGAGGGCTTCTCATTTCTAAAATCTGATGTGTCAAGTGTTCACACTACTTGCAGCCTTCTTTTGTGGTATTTTCTTGAAGTGGATGTTACTGTCTATGAAAAATAGTATTATCTAATTAATAGACATTCTTATCATGACTTACTATCAGAACCAGCACCCAAAATTGTTACTTGTGGTCTAACATGGAGATAATCCCAAACCTCCCCTCCAATTGCTTATTATCTGCATTAGAAATGTAGTACATTATCATAGACTACTCTGTCAATATAGATACAGGTTCTCCTGCTGAATGGGAAGTGTTGGCATTCAGATCCAAGACCAAATCTATTCAAAGTGGGAACAGAAGAATTCAGGCTGTCTGCTTCCGGGATTAGGGTCAGCAAACGCGTGGATCTGAATCTGCCTCTGTAAATGAAGCCCAGGAATGTGCTCACTGGTAGAGCTGGTTCTTGGACCGTTTCCACAGATTTTCTGCCTTGTTTGTTCCCCCAGGTGTGATGAGTACGTCACACAGCTGGATGAGATGCAGCGGCAGCTGGCAGCTGCGGAGGATGAGAAGAAGACCCTAAACTCTCTGTTGCGCATGGCTATCCAGCAAAAACTCGCCCTTACCCAGCGACTGGAGGATTTAGAGTTCGACCACGAGCAGTCCCGACGCAGCAAAGGCAAGCTTGGAAAGAGCAAGATCGGCAGCCCTAAAGTAAGTGAGGAGGCATCAGCCACCGTGCCAAGCATAGACACTTTCCTCCTGCATAGTCAGGGCCCACAGCAACCAAACTTACTGGTCAGCAGTGGCACTCAGAGGAAAAGGTATGCATGCAGTGATCTTTACAGTACAGTGCAGTAGCCAGACTTTCATTAAAGTCGTTCACTGAATTGTAAACATAATGATTCTTTTTTTTTTCTAATTTATTTTAATTTTTTGGTTTTGTACTTTGACTGGGGAAAAGGAGGTGGGGAGGGTGTGAATATGAAATTCAAAGCCTGGCAACATGTGGTTCTGATCCACCTACTCACTGTTATTTCCTCCTCCTTAATGCAGTGTTCCGAACTATATTCTGTCAGTGTCTCAGTGCATCTTGTATGTCTTTAATATTAAGTGTGAATGTATTTTCTTTAGCAAGTTTTCCTTCAGTTTTCCTTAAAGTTTTCTGTCACGAGCATCTGAAATAAAAAAAGGATTGTGCTCTATGAGAATTTCAGTGCTTAACACAAAAGAAACTGCATTTCTTTGTTAAGCTCTGGTGCTCACTTGCTCTTTATCAGTTCCAAAATGATATGGATGTGTTCACTCAGATCAGTTTTTCTACATGGGAGCAAGCAAGCTTTTGAAGGGGAATGGCTGCCATTCATAACCTAATGCAAATATTTTTCTGTTCAAGCAGTGAGTTCTTGTCTTGTGACTGCCCTGACAAAGCTCTGTAGGTGTGGGATCTCTGTTAGAGAAGTACAGATAATCATTCCCTTTTCTCATATGCTCTAATCACAATGCAAAACCAAGAGAACATTCAGGGAACTTTGTACATGTCGACTCCAGGATGCTGATATATAACTCAACCTCATCTCCTCCTTCCCTAATGTGAACGAGTATTTCCAAGGCAGGCAAGGTGTCCTGCTCTGGAAATGACATTGGGTGGCAACACTAGTTGGTTTTTACCTGTTAAGCAAGTTAACGTGATGTTGTCATTTGTGAGGCTTTGAAAGGTAATTAAAGTAAAACTCTTTTGTTTCCATATGTATTTTTCTTGGATCTCCTGCAAGACTATTCTCACCTTCCCTTTGTGATCAGAGCCATCCCAGGACTTCAGGGACCTACCTCCAGAAATTATTAAGAGCCCCCCCTCATCCCGCCTCCACAGAATCATATCTTCTGAGGGGCCCCCCTTCCATGAGTGAATTCATCCATGGGCACCGTCTCAGCAAGGAAAAAAGGTTAACCGTGGCCATACCAGGTAAACATTTTTTCCTTGGATGCATGTGGTGCTGAGTGGTTAGCAGAGCAGGGAACCCTCCCAGCACTGCAGATGCAATCTAATTTGGGCATCTTCTTGGGGACCTGAAAAGCAAAAATGTCATCTCCTCCTACGTCACCTGTGGCAGGAGATGACATTCTGCTGGCAGCGGCCCAAACTGGTTTCAGATGCAGTGGGGAAAGTCCTGCTGTGGTATTAGGTGGGTGCAGTCCCACTGGCATCCGCAGGGGCTGCACCCTTGTGCCTGGGTGGAGCTTAGTCTGGTGGTCATGTTGGTAGTCCCCTTGGAAGACACAAACCCAACAGGACAGAGGAGTCAGATGTGTGAGGGCCAGCGAGGGAGTGACTGGCAGTGTGCAGGAGCCTATGCAGCTCACCCTGGAGCACTCAGTCAGGTTTTTCTGAAGCGTAGTGTTAAACTCACAGAAGGCTTAGTTTATATAAATTGAATCATGAAGTTTATCTTTGCAGGAAGCTTTTGCTCCTAATTTCCTGCCAAAATGTAGTATCCGCATGGAACAAGGTGAAGAAAGGAAATGCCGTTTCAAAGGTTGAGACATCTTTCTTTGCTTGACAGACAAGCTAATAATTACTTTTCTTCTGTGCCTGAGCAGAACCTTTGGCCTTTAAAGGTGCTCAGTCTTGTTTGGTTGTTAGGTTTTTTTTTCATTATTTGTTTTGAAATTTGTTATACACAAAAAAGAATAAGTAGAAAACATAGAAGCTAAACCCCTAAAGTGGTTTCTGCTCAAAAAAATGCTTATTCTGGAAAGTTGAGCAGTACCTTATAGTATGTTAAATTTCTCACCTAGTGCCATCAATATCACAGCTGCCTTTGAACCATGTAAGTAACACCCACTCCAAAGAAAAGTGTAAAACTGCAGACAGTCTAAACAAGACATTTTCCTAAGGAGTGTTGCAGAAAATAAATCAAAAGAGCTGTCTCCTGAGGAGAAAAACGTGTAAGTGGCAGGAAAGAAGCATCTTATAGAACATCACAGATGCGTGGACCACAGATTGAGAAACACTGACACAGTTTTTTTTTCCCAGTAAGAGAGGCCAAAGGATAAAGCAGCCTGAAAAGTAGAATTGTCCAGAAAATTATGTTTGCCTGGAGTCTTATCTGTCACTTTAGGTACATCTCTACATGTTCAGAGTATAAGGGTCTTGAGACAGAGTTATTGATTTATGTTATGGTTGTCCTTAGGAATCTACAACAGTCCCAGCTTTCTGAATGCATTTGTCAGAATTTTACACCATCACATGGCCTTAGGCTCAGCTTGTGAGAGTGACAGGTTCAGACCTGAGATTTTTATGAGCACTCAGATTCCAGTGTTAGCAGGGCCCATGTTAGAATGAGGTTGAAGATTAAGTAGTGAATTTTTCAGTTCTTACCAGTTTCTGGAAGATTTCTTACTGTTGTTAACAGATGAAAGGAATGATGCACCAAGTAGGATTTTTTTTGCCATCTGTCTAATTATCTGTTTCGTGAAGGAACAGTGAAGAATGTTATTCTTCTGCCTTTACAAAGAAAGTTTAAAAGCCTTGTATCAGAAGGAGTTTCTGTTCTCAGATGACTTGTGCAGTCAAGCAAGCCAGCAAGAAATGTAGCAACCCACACCTGCTTCTTCATCAGAGAGGGTGCAAAAAAGCAGCATCCAAACTCAAACACTATGGAGCAAAGTGTAGCTTGGCTTGAGGCTGAGTCCTCAGGGGTGGAGCAAGAATGAATCAAACCTACATTAAATGGAAGCATGTTTTGGTGTTTTTTCTTTAAATTTGCAAACGATTTCCTTCACACAAATATTTCAGCCATATTATGTGAGTGAATCTATGCCCTGTCCTTTCATTAGCTCTCAGTGTTGTGGGGACTGGGAGGCTGTAGCTGGGAAGGCATTTGATGGAGACCAAGAGCCAAAATAGCTGAAGTTGGCAGAGGGAGAAACCCGGCAGGCTCCCCTGCCCCATGCTCCCCATGCAGTAGCAAGCTGTGCCTGTCTTTCTTTGGCACCTTCTTCTGGACTTGGTGCTTGGCAGAAGAGATTGCCTTCACTATGCTCTGGGCCCAGCTTTGACTACTGCTAGTAAAGGGAAAGCTGGACTGCTTTTTGCTGCTTTTTTCAGAAGAAGACCAGCTGAATTGAAGATCTCTCAAGAAAGAGATTCTCATTTCCTCATCAATTTCTGTTTGATTGCCCTCACCTTTAAATCAGCGTGCATGTCTCTCTGACATCAAGCTGTGACAGCATGACTTGATCTGGGCTTTCTAATTGAACTAATAGCTCCTAAGTGCCCACAGGGGCTAAAAATACCACTCAGTCCTTTTTCAAAGTATCATGTTCCATTTCTCCTAGGTAATGGTAAGCACTTGGCTTTGCTGTGTGTTACTTTTTTGCTTCTGTTCTGCTAAGATGTATTTTTACACTTTCAAGTTTTTATTCTTCTGATAGGCAGAAGCAGCTCGTACGTGTCCAGCACAATTCTAGCCTACCTTTGCATGTGTTTGTGTTTGTTTTCATAACTACATGAAAAAGTCAGGGCATATAGAAAGCCTAATGCTTGGTTCATCAGTGTGAAACACTATGAAAAATGACCTTACCTTTGCAGTTGTGTTCAAACTCCTTGAATATACAGTCACTAGGTGCCTCTTAATATACTACTGTCCCAAATATGAAATATGATTCTCTCAACCTCTTCAAGGAAAGACCAAGCCAAAAAAGGTCTCCTGTAGTATCTGCTTTGACATCACTCTTCTCTGTCAGATATTTTTGCATGGAAATTCTGTTATTTTAGCTTAAATTTAAATCAAGATCCTTGTGTAGATGATGCACCTGAAGAAAAAGGTTTCCCAACAGGCTTATGAAATGGACAATAACCAGTGGCTGCAGCATTCTCCCTTAAACAGGGTCAACAACAAACCACCTGAGAGTCTCCTTTGTTGGAGTGCCCCCCAAACAAACTGTGGTAGATGCTTCTTTCCCTATTGTTTATGTCTGGTATTTAAAGTCCCACACAGGAAAACGCTGCAAAAAGTCAAGCATTTCATATTTTGAAGGAATTCAGATCATAATGGGCAATCCTTTTCCTTTTAGAGGATTCTCTATGGTCATATATTTCATTTTATCAAAATAGAAAAAAGGAAAGTAGCCCTAAAATGTGACACATTTCTCTCAAATTCCAAGCCCAGCTGAGGTCAGGTGTTTAGTTGACATAAGCCAGTCTAGCCCCATGGGTTTCAACAGAACTGTGCTAGTTTACTGCAATCCCAAGTTTTTGTTTCGTAGGGTTTAGATTTTATTGTTCTTCATTGTTACAAGAGCATTTCATAAAATGGCTCTTCTAAAAGCTTTAAAAATAAAAACCACTGCAAAAGTAGGTAATTTTATGGAGTTGCTCATTTCTGAAAGCACATTAAACCTGAAAGCCTGCTTGTTTTTCAGATGTCTTTCATGAGTGATTTACAGCCTGGCAGTGAATTCTCACAAGATGAGACTAATGGGGAAGACAAAGACAACTCAAGGAATGCTACATAACAGTATCACAACTGCTCAAGCACTAAACTCATCACCTATCATGCATAATTTATAGTATTTAATAGATACTCTTACTATAAAAGTATTCTAAGATTAATTTCTGCTGTAGCTCTATGCTTACAGGCAAATCAAATATGAATCACAATAGGATACAAATGACTAATGTTTGTCGGTTTGCATTCTTACCTTAAAATTTAACTTAATTTGTAAAAACTCAATCCCAAAGGAAACTCCTGTAGGGTGTCACCAAGAGCTAACTTACACAGTCTGTAGGTAGACAGTATTTTTTAAAGCTAACAAGGAAAATGAAAATACAAAATGTCAATCACCCAAGTGCTGAGGTCCTAAGAAGTCTTATAATTGAATCTTTCAGCTGGAACTCAAGGGAAATTGCTTAAGAGTTGTCTTTGCTAATTGTCACTTACACTAGAACTGGTTTAACATGTGAAGAATGGCTGAGAAACCTAGGAATGCACTGATCTGTTTGATGTAGCACAAACAAAATTTAACAGGGTCTTCTGAGTAGGGTGACCCTTAGTGTTATAAGGACTTAAGGGCTTTTAATAAGTCATGTGAGGTGTTGAGTAACCTCTCCTAGCTCAAGGGATGAGGAATACACTAATGGTATTTTAATTTTTTCTTTCTGGATTTTGAGGTTTTTCAAGGTATAGTGTGTAGGGTGTGACTTTCAGAAATATTCTGTGAAAGGTTACTCTCTGTGTAATCAGAAGCTCATGTTCCTTCTTCTGTATTTTTCTTAAAATACCGTTAAAGTGGAACTTAACATGTGGGGCAAGATTGTTGGTTTCAGCTCCTCCTTGTTTAGGTAGTGTGAAGATGCGGGAAAGCATCTTCAAAAGGAGTGAGTAGAAGCACTTGATAGGAAATGAAGCTCTCTTTACCCTCCCCTTTTGGATGCAGGGGTTGGGAAGATGACCAGGGAGGCTCAGGCTGACACCACTCTGCACAGCAGAGGCTGTCTGTAGACATGTGCCTGTGTACCTTACACCATTGGAAAGGCAGGGGGAACAAATTTTTTTATAGCATTTCATTGTGTGTTGAAAAGGGTTTAAGTCAGAGGTCTTTAGCTGTGCACTTTTTTTTTTTTTAGGAATATTTTGCCAAAAATAGTTCCAGAAGCTTTGCTTTTGAGCTTAGGTACCAATGTCAGAAAGCTCCTCACAGATTTCTAAATCTTGCTGCTACAGGCATTACTTCAGTACCACAACTTCGCTTTTTCAGGCACTTCTCAATTTTGAAACAGCAGGACTGTTAAAAATCTGCACACAGAGGAAAGCACGGCTTCCTTTAAAAATGGTTATGAAAGAAGTCCTTTGAGGAACACTAACAACTCAGAACTAAATTTTGTCAGGAGGGTGCTTTGTAGATCTTTATGATTGCTCAGGTCACCCAGTGAAGAGTTTCAAATATTTCTTACTTCTCCTT